GATTCCTTTGACCTCACAAACCAAACCTCAGGGATTCCTTTAAACTGACCAATCCAACCCAACCCAACCCAGCCCAACCCAGCCCAACCCAGCCCAACCCAGCCCAACCCAGCACAACCCAGCACAACCCAGCACAAGCCAATCCAACAACCAACCCAACCCACCCACCAATCAACAACCAAGGATTCCCTTCAAGGGCGGAATGAGGGGTGAGACAGGGAGGGGCACGGGTGTCCTTTTTGGTTGTTTTGCTCGAAAAATAGATGGCGATTCCTGGTTTACCTGGTGGTTTCATCATCTACCAGGACCGTCTATTTCCCCTTAAAGGACACTTACTGTGGATGGCAATTACAAAGGTCTACCCATCCATGAATCAAGAGGGCGTATACCCGCCCGTTATCCAGGACGTCAGAAAAAATCCGAGCTTGAGATGTGGCTCAGGAGGCCCATCCCGGAACCCCTCCTGGAACTAAGCGATGGGGCTGTCAAAAGCAGTGAGCGAGCATGTCAAAGAGCCGAGAAATGGGAAGAGTGGAATCGCCAGGGGCGAAGAGTTGGTTCAGCTCCACCCAGGGCTGAACCCCCCGCCGCCCGAACCTTGGGCTGGGATCTCGTGGCCCATCGGAGTCCACCTGCCAAACCTTCACAAGTTTCCATGGCTCCAAGGACGCCCGCCGGAGAAAAAAAGAAGGCCCAGTTCTGGGCCTGTGGAAGGTTCTGGGGGTACCCTCCCACCAACTAACATGGGTCGGTGCAAAAAGGCCAACTAGCCAAGAGGAAAGTAGTCTTTCTACAGGGGTCTGTGCACTTCCATGTTAGTTGGTGGGAGGGTACTTTGTTTGGGGCAGTTTGGGGCTGCCCAACAAACTCATCCCTGTGGCTGGGAGTGGATCACTGCTCATGCCCAGGGTAAACCCAGCCCGACAAGTTGCCCTGTTTTGACCTGGCACTTCTGGGGGGGATAAACCCTCAAGACGGCTGAGCGCCCAAGGCTCGCTGACTTCTGATTCCGCAAAGCTGCTGAGCTTGAATACGGGCCCTTTAACCGTATGTGTGCACATATAGCTCTATACAAAAATAAATATGTATCACCCAACCTAAAGCGTGCCCCGGGTGTTTTGGAGGCCATTCGACCGGCAGGAGCAAGCCGGGCCCCCCGGCTTGCTCCTCCATGCCGTCCCCGTAGGCGGGCGGGCGCCCGGCCAGGCCGAAGGACTCGGGCCCGTCGAAGGCTGGGACCCCTGGCGCGTCAAGCTCCGAGGTGGACGAACCCGGCCTCCGTTCCTTGCGGCCCCAGGAACAGAAATGAGTCTGCCAAGGGGAAAAGAGGGGAAAATAGTTTGAGCAAATGGAAGGACCAAGCCCAAATACTGTGGATGGGTGCGAAATCCGCTTCTCGCACAGAGATGAAGCCCTGGAGTCGATTCCCCGAGGTAAATACCAACAAACAATGGGGTCAAACCATCATTTCAAAGTGGTGCAGGATTTTGCCCATCCACGGTGCGGGTGTGGGACAAGAACCCAGATACCCTTTCCTTTCTCTTGCGATAACCCCAGCTTGTTGGCTCCATTGTAGAAGGGAATCTGGGCAGGGTACCAGGGTTTTGACCCACATACTGTGGATGAGCGAAATCCATTTCGCACCACCTCAGAATCCCTGGAATGACGATTCCCCTCTGAATACCAACAAAGAATGAGTTCAACCATGATTTCAAAGTGGTGCGAAATGGATTCCGCAACCTTCCACAGCATCCCTAACCGGGACTTTGGGGATTTGTGGGTCACAACCCTGGTACACCCAGGTTCCCTGGTTTAATTTTGACCCACACCCATATCCCCAAAGTCCCAGTTAGCTATTTGTCTCTTGGGAGACTTACCAAAGGCTGGACCTGCAAGTCGGAGGCCTGGCACATGCTTGAGCCGCGGACTCCGCCTGAAAAACATCCAAACAGAGCGTTTTCAGTGAGGTGAGGAACCAGAGAATAGTTTTACAGGCCATGAGCAGTACCCATCTTTTCCGGCAAGTTATGGTCTTTTTGTTTGAGTCATCTAGGGCAACGAGAAAAAGACCCATTGGTTTATCCAACTTGTGGTTGCTAACCTTCTCGGATCCATGTTTTCCAGACACATCTCTCAGTATGCCAGCCTAGAACGGGCGGCTTGTGTCTTTCTTTCAGTTTCCATCCCCCATCACAAAGCGGAATCTCCGTAGAGATTGACTTTTAGCGGAACAAGCGGATGGTTTTGGGGTGGCTTTGGGCGGCTTTGGCTTTGGGTGGAATGGGGTGGCGGCTTTGGGTGCTTTTGGATGGTGTTCGATGGGTGTTGGATGGTTTTGGGTGGTGTTATGGGGTGGTTTTGGGTGGCTGGAGGCTCTGGAAACCAAACCACAGCTGGCGAGTCCGTGCGCCCCGTGCGCGCCTGCACGTGGCCGTGACGGCGGTCCCAGAGGGTCCACCTGGCGCTTCGCAAAGTAGACATGGCCTCCCAACACTTCCAGAGGGGTCTGCCAAAAATGAGTGTCCTCAGACCCATGTGAAGAGTTCAAAGGCTGTATATATATATATATATATGTATATATATATATATATGTATATAGGAAAAATACCTACTAGTATGAGGTAACATTTACATAGTTTACATACATATATATATATACATGGCCATGGGACAAAATCCCGTACCCCCAGCAGTGAACATCCCAATTCCCACTAAAATAGACTAAAATGGGTGGTGCACCTACCCCAAAATGGTACCATTGATTTTGACCCACAGCCACATAAATATCCGTCCAAGATGTTTGGCAGGGAACTTGTTCGCTGCCATTCAAGCATGCAGGTGTTGTTTCTGTCTCACCGAAAGTAAACTCGATGGGATCAAAGTTTCCTCTCTTGCAAACCCTCCAAAAGAAAAAGGAACAGCTGTGGGTTGGTTTTCAAAGGGGACCCAAAAAGAAGCAACGCAATAAATCACCTGCACCTGGGAGACTCTTTTGATGGGAACCCAAAAATGAACAAACCTTGGTTGAAAAGGGCATGCTACATAGAAGAGATCGGGATCACTTGAAAATTTGCACCTCCGAAGGGACCTTCCGGTGGCTCCCAACTGTGCCCTGGATATGTGGATGCAAGCAGACCCACTAAGTTGCCTCTGCATTGCCAGGTAGGTCCAGATTCTTGGTTGCCATGATGGCTCCCAATCAGAACCCCGATCATCTTCAAGTTGGGCAGACCATCTCGCCAAGAAAAGCCGCACATGTTGAGAAAGAAGAATTAAAAAAAAAAAAAAAAAAAAAAAAAAAAAACGCGGTCAAAGACATGTGGTCTTTTGGTTGTCTTTAGATTGCTCACGATTGGGGCTTGCCAAAGAGGACTGCACTTACCCACGTGCAGATAGGTTTTCCCCAGTCCCTTTAGAGCGCAAGAGTGCCCACATTCCAATGGCTGAGCTTCGTGAAGAAACCATCCCGACGAATGTCAACACCTGAACCAAAAAACAAAATCGCTCGCACCTTGAAGGTCAGCGTCGTGATATTTCCTCAGATCAAAAGAGCTTGACTTCCTTTCTTCCACTGACTTCCTCTTTCTTTCATTGTGCTTGTTTCTGTGCTTCCTGTTGTCAATGTCGTTTTCGGCCTCCGATGCTGTGTGTCTCCTCTTTGCTTGCTAAGCAGGGACCCACAAAGAAGGGGCATGCGTTTGGTTTCTCAGTTCAGCTTGCTTTGAAACAATCCTGCCCGTGGAGACATTTCCAACTTCAAGGGCGTGTTCAGGAGGGCTGGTGGTCATAAACCACTTATGTCAAGGAATTGGGGCAGTACGCACCCCCTCACAAGGTTGGGATATGACATCCACAGCTCCTCGACAACTTGTTCAAAGCTGGTCACATGAAGTCCTGATTAAAAACACAAAAAACAAAACTGGTATTAAACGAATCAAGCTGATCCACGGATCACACGGCGGCCGCATGACCGGTGCGTTTTTTTGCTTCTTGGGTCTGTGGAACTGCCCGATGTCCCCCAGGTTCACTTCGAGGTTCTACGGTTGATCCAATCGTCGAAGTTGCTGGAATCGTACCTGGCGACGGAGTCAACAAAAAGCCGCGCCAAGCCTAAGACCCTGGGTTCCATGGCTCCTTTGGCTTGGCAAATCCCAAAGCCTCGGAAAAGAGTAAACAGGAAAGTCACCAGGCAAAAATGCGCAAAGGAAGCGGCAAACCAGGCAAAACGAGCAAAGGAAACAGCAAAGGGGAAGAGTAAAATGGAAACAACGGGAAAGAGTAAGCAGGAAAGTCAACAGGCAAAAACGAGCAAAGCAAAACGGCAACAGGCAACAGAAAAAGGAAAGCAATGAGGCAAAAACGAGCTGAAAGTCACCAGGCAAAACGAGCAAAGCAAAACCGAAACAGGGAAGAGTAAACAGGAAAGCCATAAGGCAAAAAAACGAGCAAAGAAAGACGGCAACGGGGAAGTGCAAACAAGAAAGTCACCAGGCAAATGCGAGCAAAGGAAAACAGCAAAGGTGAAGAGTAAGCCGGAATGTCACCGGCAACGAAGAACAGTAAGCAGGAAAGTCCCCGGGAAAAAACGGGCAAAGGAAGACGGCACGAGGAAGCGTAAGAAGGAAGTCACCAGGCAAAAGCAAGCAAAGGAAAACAAGCAACTGGAAAGAGCAAGCAGGAAAGTCACCAGGCAGAAACGAGCAAAGAAAAATGAGCAACGGAAAAGGGTCACAAGAGCGGGTAAACGAATAAATAGCACAGCTACTAAGCTTGAATAGGAGCTTTTTATCAATAATAATAATGGTAAAAAGGGGGACAAACATATCATGGGGAGAAAAACCTTCCATGGGCACGCAGACTTGGTCGGCAGATCGTCGTATCTCACCAGCAGGATCAAAGGCCCATCGGACTGCACACGCACCTGGCAAAACGATCTGAACATGCGGAGGCTCGGTACCCTCCCAGAGCCTTTTGAGACCCCCAAACTCCCGGGTGTCTAATGGGGTCGGGTCTTCCCTTCAAAGCCCCAGGAGCTTCTTGGTAGGATTTGGGTGTGTCTTCCTTTTTGTGGAACCCCTCTTGGTTGGCTTTCAAAGAAAAATTGCAGAAAAGCCAAGCATTTTAGGGGTACCCTACTTTAGAACACACCCATGTTGGCCTGTGCTTCTCCCCATTCGGGTCCCAGGTCTCCCGAATTCGGAGCTCGGTCGGGGTCCAGAAGAATGCTGGGGCCTGAAGAATGCTGGGGCCTTCTTTGAGGCTCGGTACCCTCTTGCAACGAACCAAAAAGGAAACCGATCCCTATGGGGTGAGGCATCAAAGGGGCAGCTTATCCTAGCATTCATAAGGTCGTCCACAGTGTGAAAGCTGATGCATAGCAACATACGACTTTAAAAGAGGTAGCCTCAAACAAGGGACACACCCCTTTTTTTGGTGCAGTTGACCCTGCAGAAAGTCTTCAACCTTTTGTGTCCAATTCGGACAACCCGACCTGTTTCAACCAAAAAGTTACTCCACCCGTTGGCTTTGGCCGCTGGATTCTGCCGAACATCGGCCGAGGGCGTCCAACCCTAAAGGCTGTGAAGTACTCCAAGTGATGAACTGATTGATACTGTGGACGAAATTTTGCAACACCGAAATGAGTCCCCTGAAATGATACGATTCCCCTGTAAATACCAACACGCAAATGGCTTCCCATGTTTCAAAGTGGTGCAGGATTTGGACCATCCACAGTATGGAGGCGGAATTAAAAGCTCCCAGCCTGGGTATGGGAGGTTGGAGGCTGAGACATACCTCCAAGACCATTTCGAAATTGCCCTCGAGCTGCCATTGAGTCACAATCCACCGGCAACTTCCCTTTGGCCTTTGGCCTACTCAGATCATGGAACCCAAAAGGCATCGCTAGGATGTCTTTCTCTCTCTCTCTCTCTCTCTCCGCTGGATATCCTTTTGGGTTCCGCGGTTTAATTGGCGCGTCTTACTTTTCGCTGGGCCGAAACCGACGGAACTCGAAACCCAAAGGAAGGGACCGAACATCGGTCCCGAGCAGAAAGCCGAAGAATCCGATCTGACGCCCCCCATTCCTCTTGTTGAATTCTTAAAAGCAAAACAAAATGTGATCTTTCTTGGTCAGGAATTGACATACAGTCAAAAATGAGCCGCGATTTGGGGGTTGCTTGGGAGTCTGGAGAGTCTCTAGCTATGTGCGCGCAAAACTCGTTGGGCCAGGGTGATGGTTCCTTCAATGGGCTTGATTGAGTATCCAGCCATCCCTTGGACAAAGTCTCTGGATTTACCCTCCCACCAACAAACATGCAAGTGCACAAAGTCCCTTTCCAAGAGGAAGAAAATGTCTTTCTACAGGGGGTGCGCCAAACCATGGAATCGGTGGGAGGGTATTCCAGCTGTAATGTTGGCCCCAGATTAACAAACCCCTGTTTATTAATAGGGGGATGTCCCTGGTTTTGGTTGAGCTTTATCACTTTTGGAGGGGACAACATTAGGACCTGGTTGGCACACGAATAGCCCGCCTGCAGGTATCCCCCCGGGAAGCGAGGCGGGATGTGCACCTCGGACTCGAAGGGAACAGAGCGTTGCCATGAACAGGCCACAAACCCCGGAGAAAAGATGCAGAAACACAGGAAGGGCGAAACATCCGGACAAGTGGATGGACGAAATCCTGCACCGCTTGGAAGCCATTGTTTGTTGGTATTTACGTTGGGAAATCGACTCCTTCCAGGGCTTCATCTCGGTGCGAGAAGCGGATTTCGCAACCATCCACAGTATCAGGCATGCCGGCAAATGAAGAAAGCACGCCCAACGGCTGCGCCGCGCCAGGAAGTCCTCTGTACTGGGATCCCCGGAGGCTCCAACTCCATTGATTGGCCTTTAAACAACCTGGCTTCGAGACCCCCCAATTTCCGGGGAGTCTCATGGAGTCGGGTCTTGAGCCAAGGTCCAGCCAGGAGCTGGGAGATTCTGAGACCGCCGGCCCGGAAGTACTGGTAGCGCCCCATCGCCACCTGGCGAAAAAAGCCGAATCCACCGCGGGTAGACTCATAGGCAGACCCCTCCCCAAATGGGGGGGGGTCTATGTCCGGAGTCCGGTCGACCCAAAACCTGGCAGTCGAGCGGAGGACCAAGCCATCAGATACGTGGGTAATACCCCACGCCCTCAATTCGTTTCTGGGCCAGGTCAACCACGGACCAACGGTCACTGCCCATCCAAGTCAGCCTGGAAGCTTCGGTGAAGGGTTGGGAAAAATATGGAGGGTACCATTTTGGGGCGGCTCGATCCGGCAAGGCCCCGGCAAGGTCAGTTTCAGTGCCCGAAGCACCCGGAGAGAAAAACAAACGCCGAGAGATCACTTTCCAAGACCGAACCGTGGAGAGTCGGTGAGCGTCTTGAGATGTCTGCGGGGTGCCATGACGTTCCCCGTTCACCATTACCCCACAAGGAAACTTACCGGCCATAGCAAAAGGGGAAGCGGGATCCTGAAAGTTCCCCGGAATCAGAAACAAAGCCGTTTCCAATGCCTGCGGTTTGGCGGTGGAAAAGAAACTTGGAGCATGGGGCTTTCTCACCTTGAGTGGCCGTATAACAACCGGTTCTCCAAACAGCATTCGGGTCTTAATAAAGGGAGACCAAAAGGAAGCCGAAGCCATTTTGGGGGGAAAACCCCTAAAGACACGGATCCCTTACGGATCACTTTTCAAAATAGGTGACAATCTTTAAAAAGCTCATAGCCCAAAGGCTTTGGCCACATCTTTTCAGACTCAGACCTTCTGTCGCCTAAGAGAGCCCAGGGTTTGAGCCTCCAGCCTCCCATTCACCCCACCCCCCCGGGCGGAATAAGGCACAAGGAAAAACGCCCTTTCGGAAGGTCTAAAAATGTACCATGCAGCAAGAGCAGCGTGTGACAATTCACTACAAGTTACAAGTGGCAAATGACCTGCTAGCCTGGAAGTTGAACTTGTCATTGTGGAGCACCTCCCGCTTGCTGTGCTCGCATGCAGGCCCCGCGTGGAAACCTCGAGCCGGCACCGAAAGCCATCGGTTCGTCGGATGCCATCGGACCGATGTCAGGTTCTCCCCAAGAAAGGCGAAGGCCCGAAGGAGTCAACACTTTCTCCCCTGGACCGGCCCCCTCGACATCCAAATCTGGGGTACACAAACGAGGACTCTGTTGAGAAATCTATCCCAAGTTCAGCACTGGACCAAGTCCGCACGCCTCACGAGGTTTCGCCTACTTGCAAAGGCACCCTCACACACGGGAAGGAGGAGGCTGGTACTGGAGGGGGGCCTGGGATAATAAGCTCCTTGGCTTCAAGTACACCAGCTTGCGGTACACGGAATGCAGGACATGTCTTGCAGAATACGGAAGACAGAATACATGTTTCAGGACGGAATACATGTTTCAGACAGAATACAGAGAGTCAATGTCTTGTTACAGGCGCGGCCTGCGTCGCATTTTCACAATGCCCACCGCATTTGGTACGTGGCTGCTTGGGCATGTCATCGTGCTGTCCAGCCGAGTTATTTGATGTGACCCTAGGCTTTGCATGGAGGAGAACTGATCTTCCCGGATCCAAAAGGGAGGTAATTGCCATAGAAAACGTGCGTCCACATATACCAGCGAAAAAGGGCTGGTATTGCAGTAGGGGGGTAGATGTCCGGATATGTTCGAATCAGAACAAATGTGCGAGGTTCTCGAAATACTTGAAGAAAAGATGTCTTCTAAACCCCTGCACATGATTGACCTAATTTCAAATGCTCGGCACTTCTGCAAGGAAGGGACCAATATGGTTGTCCAAGGGTTCCATGCCAGTGTGTCTTTTTCAAGACCCCCCCCCCCCCAAAATGCTAGCTGTCCTGCTAGTTTCTCCAGAAAAGGGAGAAACAAAGAAAAAATGGAGGAAAAAAGAAGAAGGGACAAAAAAACAAAAAACGACAACCCCATGTTGATTGTAGAAGCGACCCCCGCACTTTTGCTTGGCCAGCTTTGAGATTGTGCGTTGGACGGCTTCTTCTCTAAGGCCGGTTGAGTGAGGCTGTTTGGTTCAGTTAATTTGCAGCCGCCTGGCCACATGTTGAGCTTGAGTGAAGGGAGAAGGGGGGTCTCGTCTTGGCGCTTTCGGTCAGCTTTCCGGTCAGGCCCCGACTGTCGCAGAGGCACTCGCCCTGAGAACTGCAGGTCCCCATCCCGGAGCACGCCTCACGCGAGAGAACCAACCGCTGCGCGGAGGTGCCGTGGCTCAGCTTTGGGTCAAAGTGCTTGGGGCGTGTTTTTTCCTTTTTCCCCAATGGTTCCAAATGGTTGGCTCGCTTCTCTTCTCTCTTTCTCGCGGCCCTCGTAGTTTCCTGAGGAAAGAACATGAGTCTGACAAAACACACTGGCAGGCTTATGTTTAGGAGAATCCCGTAAGGTTCACTCCCAAAAATCCGAAACTGCTTCCTCACTGAGCAGGTCAAAATGAGCTAGGTTCCTCCCAGACACGGAAAAAACCACAGCGTGTGCCCCTGGCAGTGCTTCACCAAGCCTCATGAAGGCTCAAACAGGCTTCTGGTAGAGGGCCCCAAAAGGCCCAAGACATCTGGGATTCGCTGTAGGAAGGCTCAAGGGACCCTAGGGCTGAACTGCCCTCTCAGGGATTCCAGAACAAGTCTTCCATTTGCAGTAGGAACCGAGTCAGGGCTGGAAGCTGTGGAATCACGCCAGGGTCGGCGCTTGATTGCGGGATGCCCCCTTTCAAGTAAGTCGACCGAGGAGCCCCACTTCATCCCTCCACAACCGGCTTCGTCGAGCTAAGGGAAACCAAAAGGAGAGGTCAACCAGCTTGGGCTCCGTACCCGTGTCCCTTTTGGCTTCTATTTGGAGCCCAGCGTTCAATCCAAATGGGCTTTGGGCCTGTTTTTTGGGAAACCCGAATCGAAATGGATCTTCGCCGTTCCTGCCCTGAATGGGTGCTGTTGGCTGTTTTAGGCCGCCCGAAATGGAGGGGGAGGGGGCGGGGGTAAAACCGAAAGTCGGAAGGCCACACGAGCGCGAGGCATCCGCCTTCTCCTGGCCGCCAATTGCCAGCGTGGGGCAGATGGCGCTGCTGCGGAGGTGGTCCTCGGCTCCAGGAGGCCCCGCTGCTGCTTCCGCATGTGGCTGTGGTTGTCAAAACCGTTGTGGTTGATCCCATTTTGGTTGGGATTGGTGAATTCACCAACCATTTTAGGCTTCCTATTTTTGTGGTTGGATTGGGATGTTCACTCGGGGTACGATTTGGATTTTGACCCATGGCCATGTGAAAAGAGGGCTACACCATGGAACGCGTATCTCCGGTTGCCACTTTGCCACCAAGAGAGGGTGTTTTAGACAGGTTCCGAGAACCTTCCTAGGGAATGCTCATCTCTCCCGTCAAGTTTGCCACGGCAAGGGCAATGAAATCTGCCCTTCTGCTTCACCAGGGCTCCTCAAGCTTGCAACCTGCAAATATGACCCCAAAACCAGGCAATACGGACTCGGCGCAAGGGAAGCCATGAGAGAATTCTAGCCGTCGATTGTCCTTGGCCCCATCGTCACAAAAGACGTCACTGAGAATCAATCAGGTTGGAATGGCCAAGGACCCTTGCTGTGGCGCTGCCCTTGCTTCCTTCCCGGTGCTTCAGGCATCGCAAAACATGATCCATTCACCAGCCATGATCTCCGTCTTCAACCCAGAGGTAAAAAGCTCAAGTCAAACGCGCAAACATCCCCGGGTTGAAACGGGGAAGTCACACAAAAAAGAGCAAGGCCCCTCCTGGGGGGTCCATATCCTTGAGAGAGCGTGACTTCGGATCCCTAAAAGATCGCTCCACTCATCTTTGATTCTGCCAGATTTACTGAACCTCAACAGAATGCAATATGATCTCAACAAGAGGATCCTTGTAAGACAACCACAAATAACGTGTTGGTGTCAGTTTCTTTTCAGCGAACCCGCAAGAAACCAAAAGAGCCACCTCCCTCACACTGAGCACCTCTTCCTTTGGCTCCCCAGCCCAGAACAGGGTGTCAAAGGCCACGATGTAGGAGCAGCGCAGCGAGAGCTTCGCGTTCAGCTCCTCGAAACTCGAAATCCAGGGCAAAACCAAGTCGATTCGTCTCGTGCGGATTGCACAGAACTCGAGGAGCCCGGTCCCTTCACTGAATCTGATGAAGTTATATCCGCCGTGGAAAAACCCGGACCTTGGTTTTGAGCCGTCTTGGAGGTTTCAAGAACAACGACTTAACAGCGGGGATGCCCTTACCAGTGAAACATCTGCTTGCTTCCACCTGGGCTTGGAGGCCCCATGGCCGAGTCTGATTCCCCCCCGGAGTCAAGAAAAGATGGAAGCCAGCCAGAAAAACCTCGTTTCTCGGAGGGGAAAAAAAAACACGTTGCTTTCCCAGTCCGAAGATTGGTTGCGCCCGAAACGTGGGTCCCAAACAAAGTGCGACTCTTGGATTCTGGCCGTTTCGGTCGGGTCGATTCAGCGTAAGTTTGGCGAAAGGGTGGCCTTCGGGCGCAAAATGGTCTTTCAGGGAAACGAGAAGAACCACGCAAAAATGCGTCAAAATGGGGGGGAACACGCAAAATGGGACGGGAAAAGGGGGGTCCTTCTGGCTTTCAAGGTGAAACCAACATGAAGATGGATTCGCCAAAAGAAAAAGTTTGGGCGGTCTCCTCGGAGGCGAACTTCCGAACGTTCAGCAGCCCCAGGATCCCGCCCTGCGGACCTGGAGATCGGCTTCTCAACATGGAAATCGACCCTGGAATTCGAGGCCACGAACTTGGCTAGGGAAGCCCGGCGATTGAAGTGGGTGGCGCAAGGGTCCAACTTGAAAATCCACAGATCAGCTTCACTCTAACTGGTGGTTTGGTTTGGTTTGGTGTTCCCAGGTTCCCATTGCCCGCAAGAACTGGCTCGAATCCCCGAGCCACCGGGCTCCAAACAAGCAAGGGTAACCTGACTTTTTGTTAGTACAAGTAGTTCAAGCAAAATCAAAAAACTCCAACTGTTTTAGGGGACCAGTTCGAGAAACGCCCACCCCGAACTTTGAAGTGAGCATATTTGAACAACAAGGTAAAATATGCTTGATTGACTGGGCAACTCATACCCCCTACATCCAATACCCACTGTCAGCCCCTGACTAAAAAGAAGGCACTTGACACAGAAATCGTAGTTGTTCAACAAATATTATACAATCTCCATGCTTCAAATGGCAACCAAATACCCCCCCCCTTTCCGGGAAAGGGCCCGCATTGCCTAGCGCCTGGAAAATGAGTGGCTTAAATTGCAAGCTTCAGCCGAAAGAGGGCAGCCTCAAGACAAAGGACATACCTGCGGTTTGAGGGCCACGTTCCATGACACAAAGGAAATGTCCTTCAAAATGACAAAACTAGTCATACTGTGGATGGGCAAAATCCTGCACCTAGGATCATCCATCCCAATTGATGCAAAGTGTTTTTTGGCGGAAGGTAGGAAGGCAACATCTGAAGAAAGAGTGAGCGGGGATTCGTCCGTCTCTTTCTGTCGTCTCGCGGAAACTTGTGTAATCGATAGGGAGTCTCTTAAGATTCTCGGCAAGCATCTTATTAGCTAAGTTTGATAGTTTTGTTTCAAGGAATTTGTCCGTTCACTCCCATTCACTGGCACACCCTTTCAACCATTTGGAGCTATTGCGGCTCCCGTTCGTACCTGTCTCGTCTACCGTTCTCTCACGACATCCATCGCAAAGCCCAGAACCACGTTTTGCAATCCGAGGAAGCCCATCTCAAAGTCGCTCAAGTGGTGAGGTCGCAAAGGAAAAAACATCCTTCGGACCCAACAGGCGGGGGTTGAATCGACCCTGATTCGACCAACCGGAACAGAAGGCGCACCCACCCCCTTGGCGGTCGCATAGTGCAGCCCGCCCCGGTCCTGGAGTTCGGCTTTTCGGCCGTGAACGGAATGGCTTTCCACCAAACCGCACCCAGGGAAGGTCCGTTAGACCTCGAAAAATACAAAATACAGATAAAGGAATAACGTGTATATACATATGTGGATCATTTACTCACCCCCCCCTAAGGACAAGCAACCAAGCAACAGTTCTGGAAAGCACCCGCAAACATTCAAATCATTTTGTAAAATCTGATTTGGAAAGGAAGCCCCATCTCCCTTCTAATTGAAATAGAAATGCAAGTTGAATTATGCTTCCCTTAGTTGCTTCCCCTACTTAAAGGGGCATTGTAGAAAGCCATGCCTATAACTTATAAGTCTCCTCAGTGGGTTGCACCCAGCCTGACTAGCAACTTAGTACCCCTGCCCCTTTAAGTAGTGCACATCTATAATCATGACTCCGCTTAGAACGTTCATTCCAAATAGAGCATCCCACCGGAAGGACGGACTCCTCCAGCCAGTGCGAGAAGGTGGAGGAGTCATGGCCATCGAAGGACCTGAGAACGGGAGCTGTGGGTTCCCCTTTTGGTGAATTTCCCTAGTGCATTATCTCAGTTGCAGAAAGGATCGAAATACAAGTAAAAAAAGTTAAGCGTTTGGCCTCTACACCAAAATGGGAAAACCGAAAGGTCAAAAAATCGGCTTTGGGCGAGCGAGCTATTAGAGGGGTTCTTGTTTGTATTGTAGCTTTCTTCGGGAGGCCTTTATCCCCGTTTGGCCGAATTTCATGGGAAGAATTGGTTGATGTGGCCAGGAGGGGTCACTTTTGGGAAATCCACCTAAGAATTCGCCAGGTTGCTCGATCAACATCAAAGGCCAACCAAAAGGGAACGGGAACCGTTTTTCTGGGTCCAAAACTTTTTGAGACACGCCCAAAACCCTCATAGCAACTGACATTCTCACTGCCAGGATCGGTTCCCTCATGTCACTGTCACCTTCACAATTTGTTCAAACCCCTTTGTGGGCCTGTGCTTTCTGACAGCACGCTTTCAAGCTTCCTGTTTTTTGGGCAACCAACGGAACAACCACCCTTATCTACGCTCCCTATTCAGTTCTTCATGGTCGACCCAATCCCAAGTAAAGGAAATTGTTTGACCATTGAAGAGGCAGATATGGGTGTGTCTTTGATTAGGTTCCCTTCAAAAGCCGCAAAAACAGGTGTCACTGTCTTTCGTGCCCGCTTCGGTCACTCCAAGGGGTTTACGAGTTGTTTCTATCTGTCTCATGCAAAACTTTCAGCGGATGGAACCTGAATCCGCGCAAGCCAGGGTGAATCCGTGGATTCAGCGGATGTGCCCAATGCAACTGCTCGGAGCGAGCCACAACTTTCACCGCACGAAGGAGCCTTTTTTCAAGGGGGGGTTCCGCTCAAAGAACTCAGCCCCGAACCTCTTGTGATGTTCAGTTGGGACTAAGAAAGAAACACAGAATCACTCCTTGTCCAAGGAAAATTCTAAATTGGCGTGTTCAACGCCACAATCAAGAAGGTCCAACCATACCCTGGTGTATGTTGCGTGGGTTGGTTACAGGTTGACATATATCCAACTACTTGATTTTGAGGAAGCCTTGATGGACCTTGTGAGTGGCCAGTTGGAGTATGAGTGAGTATTCATTCCAGGATCCATGTTTTGACTACTTCGACTACTTGAACCCAGCTGCTGACCGGTCAAAATGAAAACCATATTGCCAGTCTGCCTTAAGCCGGGGTTTCTGAAAACAACATTCAAAACAACCATCCTTGCTGGTGCTCCGTAGGGAATGAGGGCCGTAGGGAATGAGGGAATGAAGCTGGGGGTCCCCTTGAAGCAAACCACCAGTTGAATGGCTTTTCCTGTGGGGTCCTTCCATTTCCCATTTCCTGCCAATCGCGCCAGCAACCATCGGCCCCCCTCATCGCTTGGGCTTCGAACGGCGCCCGATTCGGATCGGTGGAGATGAAGAGCAGGGGATCCGCGTGCTGCTCGTAGCTGCTCATGGTCACCTTTCGCTGAAAGCTGACATTGAATTTGCCCATTTGAAAAGGACCCCTCAGCCGCAGAAAAATTCGCCTCGGCCCCAAAGGGGCCAAGGGCGCTCAGATCTCTTCTCCAAGAGAATCTTCGCTTTTCCCCCCTCCCCCACCAAAATTTTGCCGGGCCGCCCCCCCCCCCCACCCCCCCCCACCCATGTCGGCTGGCCCAAAATCCTATCCGGCGGGCCTTGAAATTTTCGGGGTTCGTCGGCGTCCAGCTCCATGGGTCCATTTTTGTAAATCACTAAAAAATTGCTTTTTTTGTCCTGAAAAGCATGACCTCCTGCTGGCCAGGCCTGTCTGACGTGTCTGAGACTAGGCTCAGGCCCAGCGGTCAGGCCTCAGGCCAACACGTGCCTCAGTCCGGCTGCCCAGGCTGGCCAGGCCTCAGCCTGAGACTAGCCTCAGGCCCACCCCGCTGGCGTGTCTTACGTGTCTGCGACTGGCCTCAGGCCCAGCCCAGCCAGCAACTCGCCACCCAGCCTCAGGCCCAAGTGTGTATGAAACAGGCCTTGCCCATCCAGCAACCCGCCCAAGCACAGCTCAGCCCAGCCCGCCCAGCCCAAGTTCCAGGCGCAAACCCACCCATGGCTTCGCAGCCTCGTGGCTGAGACTAGCTTCAGGCCCAGCCCAACCAACAACCCACCTCAGCCCAGCCTGCCTAGCCGAGGCCCCGGTGCATCTCAGCGCATGCTAGGCCGGCCCCCAGCTCCCCAGCAGGCTCAGCCCAGCGTGCCAAGGTCAGGTTTGTCTAACGTGTCTGAGACTGGCCTCAGGCCGTGTTTGAGGCCCTAGCCCCCCAGTCCGGCTGCCCAAGCAGCTCAGCCCAGGCTGACCAGGCCTTGACCTCCTGCTCGTGTCTGACCCCAAGTCATCCAGCAGGCCCAGCCCCTTCGGCGTCTCAAGGTATGCCAGCCTGAGACTAGCCTCAGGCCCAGTCCCTCAGCCCGCCTGCTGGCGTGTCTATTGGGGATATTTTTCCGGGGTACTTAAGCAAATGGAGGTTTGTATTCCCACCATGTACCTGTCTTGGGCTGAGCAACCGAGCAAGAAATGTATGTCATGGCAAGCCGCCAGCCACGTGAAATGGAGGTGCCCAAACACCCAAAGTTGGTTTTAGTTGTTCAGTGACACCAATTATTGTTCCCCTTTTTATGGAGGCCAAGCCCCACTAAAAATGCTCATCCCCAGAAAGAGGTCCTTTTTTTTCCAAGGGCACTGAGCAGCTGAGATAGTCTTGGTTTTGGATTTCAAACCTTCCGAGCAGGACGGCTTCCGAACATCGAACTAGCACGGGCGAACTGGTGCGGTCACAAGCTTTCAGTAGGATTCGGACCTTCCCAACACTGGATTTCGGTGTTCCTGACCCTTCCCTCAAACTAGGCTGGGCCGAGGCGGGCAACGCGAAGCGTTTACAATTAGGCCCTGTCAAAAAGAAACCTTCTGAGGCTTTTGGGACTTGGCCTACACCTCCAAGGAACGTTAAGGGCAGCTTCTGACTTGGATCTCCCGCCAGAAGGACCACAGTTTCAGCGTCCCCATTTTAGCCGTACCAACTCAGACAGGGAGAGAGAGAGAGAGAGAGAGAGAGAGAAAGAAAGAAAGAAAGAAAGAAAGAAAGAAAGAAAGAAAGAGAGAGAGAGAGAGAGAAAGAAAGCGACACAGAGATAAGAGAGATACACAAAGAGAGACGAGAGAGAGAGCAAGCAAACGCCATGCAAGATCGATTCAAAACCGCCAACTAGTAGCCGGACAACGCAAGGGATGGTAATGACCGCCCCACATGATGTTTGGGTGAGGGCCGCTCGCCAAAATCCCACCTGCGTTTGGGAAACGGACATCGACTTTTGACAAAACCACAAGTTTTTTGGGGTGGGCGGGGTCCCCAGCATGAAACTTCCAAATGGGTCTATCTCATAAAACCGCGAACCCCTCTTTTGATGATGAAGGGAAGCCAAGCCCCTGTTTTGGATGGAAACGGGACATCCCAATTTTGAGAGACGCCCGCCTTGCGCGGTCCTGACGGCTGATTCGGCCACTGGGCATGGAAGAAACCGTATGGACCTGGAAGGGTTTGATGCACCCCATTTTGGGGGTTCGAGCTTGCCTAGGGTCTAACAAGGGGGTTGACTCGCAATGAGGCCAAACACCCAAAGGAACCTCACGGGCCCATAAAGTGATGTGTAAATGTGCAACCCTGGAATGACTAGGGTCTCCCTGCCCATAACTCTCCGACCTACAGCCAGCTACAGGAAGGGAGGATTGAAATAGGCCAAATACCCATTGAAAAGCCAGGATTTCCTATAGAATGTGCCCTTTGGCTGGTTTCTCAAGAGCTTTCAAGACTGGGTCTGGGAAAGTGACAGCCTCAAAAGATGCCTCAAATGACCCTCCTATTTTGGCGGGCGAACACCTCAAGCCGAGGACCGCGCCACCACATCCGCGGGCCCCCCCAGGCAGCTGAAGCGGAGAAGCTTGGCCTTCAAGGACCGAGCCAACTTCTGGTGATCCCAATCGGCGAGAGAGGGTACCACATATCCTCTGAAACAAAAAGAAACGAGCCAAGAAAGAGACATGAGCACCACCCAAGTACAAGTAGGTCCCAAAATCCAAACGACGTCCCTCTTTTTTCAGTTCTAAAACCAAACACCCTGAGAAAAAGAGAAAAAAGATCGGCTCGCGCCGGCCTGGCCGATCCCCACGGTCACGTGGAAGTCTCGCCCCGGGGACAGCACCTGTCGGCCCATTCTCTGAGCCACGGCCCAAACGGCCCCTTTCGGCCCCAAAACTTCCGACCCACTCCAAAGCGATGCCCTCCAAGAAAAAACACGAATCAGCAATGCCCTCCAAAAGAAGACTGAATGAAATTGACACCGGACTGATTCGGCGTGATTGATATGGAGAAGAAGAAGAAAGAAGAAGAAGAAAAAAAAAAACAGATCGTTGCATGGAGAGGTCGCCGTGGGTGTTGTAATATTGCCCATCCACATTGGGAGACCTTGGCCACTCAGTGGCCAATGACTCCTAGCTGCCAATTGGCTGTGGGTTAAAAATAGGTACCCAACATGAAACCCTGGCAAGTGGAAACATGGACCAAAACCTGCGGTCCATTTCCTGGTGGCTTAATTTTGACCCACACCCAATTGACTCCAGAAAACCAGCTCAACACGGAGACCAAGCACGGCGCCTCTGAAGAGTCTTGGCCGAGTGCTGGCTGGAGCACGCCTCGGTCCAGTAGAAGACTGCACAGATATCGAGATTTCAACTGGGAAGCTCCAGAACATGGACCCCATGCACCCCATGCAAAAAGAACATCCATAGAGCCACAGGCCCAAAACATTTTCTAGTTTCTTCCTTGGGAGCAGAAAGGACTTTGCGGAGAATCCCACCGGGTGAGGCGCTCCCAAAGGAGCGGATTCGTGCGGTCTAATTGTCCTGAGTCCACGACCAAACTCCATACCAAAGTCTCGAATGGACATGGAACCCTTCGGCAAAGCTTAAACATCACTCACAAAACCATGGCTTGGACTTTTTTCGACAAAACGATCATAATACTCTGAGTTCCCAATTCATAGCCATACGGGCTTGTCCAGCCAAATGGGATGTGGCAAGCGCCAAAGGCGGACTCGGCTTCCTGTTGGGTTCCCTTCCACACAACGAAACCAGGTATCAAGTTGAAACAATTCTGACCTTCAAACCTTTTCACCCAAGTCCGGGTAGGGCACCTAGACCCAGCGCCCAAAAAAAGCTGCGCATCGCGGTTTCTTCTTCTCAGGGCGCCATGGCGCGCTGGTGAGTGCCTTTGTGGTTGTGCCTTTATTGAGGTCGTGCTTGGTGCCAAATTAGTGTTGGGTATTCTTGGTTCATTGCCCCGTGAACTCAACCAAGCATCACATTTGGAGAACCAGAAAGCATCGTTGCCCCAACTCAACCAAGACATTTGGAGAAAAGCAGTCCCCGAATCTCCCGGATTGGCGTGCCTTTCCGAACTGCTATTCATCCCACGCCCGTGTCTTGAGCCTCGCTCAATTTCAATCCAAGCTGTTGCACCCAGGGACACCCCCATATTGATAGGGGGTTACTAATATGGGGTCAACATTAACGGCAAGATAAACGGCATGGCCAATTTGGTGGTTGATAGCCCTTGCTCAAGGCACGGAATCAGGCAAGCGTGATCTGGGTTGCATTCCTGTGTGTGGGTTTTGCTGACTTACTGATGTTCAAGAGGCAAGCCAGGCATCCAGTCATGTCCCTGACTTTGTGCACTTGACGTGAGTACCCGCAGTGTTCTAAAGCCATGGGCCAAGAACAGGAACTGGCTCCGGGAACAGACAACGACTTAAAAATAGCATCATTAGCATCAGAATTCCAACTCATCACCTCCTTGCATCATCACCCCAAATCCAAACCAGCCAAACGGACACTTGAGTCTGAGCCTTACATATTAGAAGGAACTAGCAGCTGCGCGCCACACTCGCCTCGCGCTAAAAGCCTTGGTCGTGACGTCTCGGACCCGCGCCCGTTGGCGCGGACGCGCGTACTTTTCGCGACGCAGTTTTGCGTGACAGGCGCGCACTTCGGCAGGCTGCAGTTCAGATTGGGCGGTCGCCATACTTGGCGCCGCCGACAAGTTCTTGACTGATTTCTCCTCCGCCTCCCTGTCAATCCTCAGGCGCCGGTCAAGAACCTGTAAGGTCTCGCGCGGTGTGTATCCTGCACGCTTGCAAAGGTAGGCATCCAGCTTCTTCTTCTGCAGCCTTGTGATTTGCATGTTTTGGCGCTTGATGTTTTCAGCCTCAGGCCACTTGCTTGCAAGCGCTGTGTCAGCATAAGCAACGGGGCCCAGCTGGGCCACACCGCGCTTCACCCCTGTGGCAGTTTACATCTTTCAGAGGGCTGTGGATTTAGGTTTTTTCTAGACCAGAGAATGTTATGAAATGTTTGCGTTTGGCTGCTGAAAGGTTGCGGCAGCGTGGCGAGGAGCTCATGGTTTCCGCAACCTCTCCTGTTGCCACACGCAAGGACAAACAGCCTTGCGACGGTCATTGCGCTGCTCAGCACGGAAAAAGCGGCCAACGCTAGTCAACACAGCATAAGCGCAGCTGGCAAGTTGCTCGCCGCGGGAAATGTTTTGCGAGCCTGCAGGCCAGCTTCTGCAGAAACGCAACGTCAGCACGGCCAAGTAGTTTGCCTGCCGCAGGTTCTCCGTCGGTGATGTTGTGTGGGCTTGAAAGCACAACTAGCATGTAGTTCGACACTGCAACAGAAGCGAGTGAATAGTTTGCCTTACAATTTTCCGCCAAAGCACTGTGGCTCCATCCTCTTTTTCTGGCGCCATGCGCTTATTCATCAGGGGTGGTCTGAAAATGATGTCCCAATGATGAGGAGCTGCAGGCCAAGCTTGGCGGCCATCTTGAAGGCCAGTGCTTCCATTAGGATGGGCCTTTATGGTCTCATACGTATACTGAGGGGGCTGTGTGCCTCTGAGGGCCTATGAGGACACCAACCGTTCTCGTTGGCCTTCTGTCCAGCGCATTCTGTATGATGAAGAACAATGTCAATATATTATCCGACAATGGGAAAGCCTGTGAAAGCTCCTGTTTCTTGCCTCGGACAAATCTTTCAAAGTGTTTCTGGATGTGTTCCATCAAGGTAATCGCGCATCATGGGCTGCGGCTCCTTACGGCAGACCCTGCATCATAGCTGGTACTTCAACAACTCATTGCTTGCCTGAACATATTCAGGCCTTTTTTGGGTGAACCCGGGAGCTGTGTCTTTTCAAGATGCCCGCAGCTCTAATTTACTGATAAAAGTCACAAGTCCATTGTTACCTCGGCGATGATTGAAGAAAGCGAGGAATCTACAAAGGAATACATTCTGCGTGCCCTTCAAGAAGTATCCGCAAAGGAAGTTGAGAAGGTACTCCACTCCGTTTTCTGGATCTATGAGTTTCTCATGGTCCAGAAGTTCACGGCATATTGCTGCGTCCTCGAGAAGCCGGTTCGTGACAAGCAAGCCTTGTCGTGCGGGCTCTATAACCGTGAATGTACTCCAATCGATCTTCATACCGAAACCAACTAACACGGCCGTCATACGATGGAGGCAATTTTACATCCATCGGAAGATTGATGGTCTCTTCGTTGGAAACTCACGCCGTTGCGACGGCTTCCAAGAAAAGCCGCTGCGGGTGGTTCTGCTCCATAGAAGTCCTCTTCACTCGACATCCATCCTGCTTTCGGAGAACCTGCTCCGCTACCATGGTTGAGGTTGTAAATAGAGGGTCCCAAGTCACCCCGAAATACACCTCGTAGGTCCCTGGCTGGATCTACTCCGATGCAGAAGGTAAATATGTATTGAAGAGGTAAATGATCAAATGGATTGTAAGCAGTGTTTGGTTCCAATAGGAACAAATGTAAACTGTACCAGCGGGCTTTTTCTCTATGAGCCAAGAAATGGCAATGAGATTGCTGCATGGGTGGATATTGTGAATCCAGCACAGAACAAAAGAGAAACAACCCCCCCCTGTGTTCTGTTTTTCAGACCATTGGTCTCCCGCAACATTTGGCTCAAGGCCCCTTTTGCATAATCACGACCATCCGAGCGTGAGGACAAAAGAGCCATTGCAGGCCGCTTACAGGATTATCCATCAGACAATCAACCAGGGACAATCCATCCTCCAATCATCCATTACTGGCATATTGGACTCAGGGACCAACAACGACCTCAACTACCACAGGGTTCCAGTTCCCTCCGGGGATAGGCACCTGGGCAGTGGGCCTCAATTTGTGGTAGCGGAGCGGGTTTTCCGCAGAGATCCAAGGTGTCATCAGATGGAGAAGGCTTCATGGAAGCCTATACAAGTTCGGCAAAGCCGAGCTACACGGAGGAACCAAGCAGCCGCCATCGTATGACGGAAAAGTCAGCTGGTTCAGGTATGAAGAACTCGTGGACGACTGGGTGACAATCACCACAGTAGAGCAGACTCACTGGAGATGCTTACATGTACAAGGCCGTCCTCCAAAATGACCTTTTGCAAGATCCTGATGAAGGAGTCAACTATTTCAAGAACACGCTGAAGAAGTACTTTTTGAAAGGTGCGACCAACGTGTATCTGTACAGACTCCTCAGTTTCTTCAACCACAGAAGGCAGAACCAAGAGTTCCTCATTTTTACCTCAAATTCGAAATCCTTCGCATGAGATTGAATCTTTACGGCACAGTCTCCATCATTTCGACAGTCCGTACAGGACGCAAATGCAACCCTGCTAAATGAGGACGATCCTACAGTCCTCAGACAATATATCCAAGGAATGCAGGACAGACAGCGGGACGCATTTCCCTTCGGGGATAATCTCATTGCACAGTTTTTCATTATACAAAGTGAGTTGTCAGATCAACAAGGAGAACGACTCACAAGTGCAATGTCATTGAGGAACATCTCACTCGAGAATTATTCCTATGAGATGCTGAAGACACACTGCCATGAACTCTTCATCACAACGAGGACATCGATCCAAGATCCATCCATCCGACCTCAAGGAGGCAGCCGAAGCAACACATTCTTCATCATCGAACAAGGTGAATATGAAGGAGAAGAAGGCTTCTGGGTTGAGGATGAAGAAGAACTTGAAGGATTCATGTCAAACAACGATGAAGATACGTTCTGGGTCCTCGAGGAGAACGATGCGTTCATAGCAAGAAAAGTGTCGGGGCGGAACTTCAAGTTCAAGAAAAGAAAAGGGAAAGGAAGCAGGAAACAAGAAGGGCAGTCCCCAACGAGGTGGCTTCAAGCCCTTCAGAAAAAGCGGTTCTGGCGGAAAGGCCAATATGGCCAACGAAAACTATGATCCCTACGACCAGGCATATTGGGGAAAAGGCAAAGGAAAGAAGGGAAAGAAAGGAAAATCAAAATTCCAATATCCCTATGATGGAAACAAAGGTTATCCATCCTATGAGAGTGGCAAAGGAAAGAGCGGACAGGGAAAAGGAAAATCCAAGACGTTCGCAGCCACCGCAGAAAAGACGGAGGAGCAGCCCGCCATCCAGCAGACTGCACCATCCACAGAGCCCACCTATGCCGGTTGGACAGACCAAGACTGGGATCAATCATGGACATGGAACGAACATGGCGGGTACTCATCCCATGAGACATCCAGCACAGGACAAGCGTTAATGGCGCATATGAGTATCCTGGGAAAAAGGCCATCCACGAGAAGCTGATCCAATCAGATGCAGTTTCAGAACACAATCGGCAACTCAACAAACGCTTCATGTCCAACCCACATAATAGTCACACCACGACCACACATGCCGCGCCGGTCACCGGTCCTGAAATCTGTCAGAATAGATTCTGCAAGAAATTCTGGGCAAGGTTCACGTTCCAGTTCCGAGTCCAGCTCCGATAAATCTGACTGCTCGACGTCGTCATTGTCATTCCCCTGCTGAAGCTCCGGCTCAGTCATTTCAACTCCCCAGTCCCGTGGCTGAGCGTCAGTCCAGTCAGGCTGAGGACGTTCGATTTGACTCAGACACACTGTCGCACTGGCTTCAACTTCTGCTGATTCTGAAGATTCAGTGTGACACACTGTCTGACTTGCAGGAGAATATGTCACTGTCCGACGCTTCTTATCAGCAGGCAAGCCAGTTGCCATGAGGCTTCAATGTCAATGGTTCACAAAATCTCAATCAAGCACGTTGAGTCAACTGCTACTGACAGGCTTGAGCCGCAAAACCGCATCTCAAGCATGACTGGAATGTTTGCAGCCTGAACATGGGTCATGGTTCATGTCATTCATGATGGCATGATGGCATGTGCG